TTCTCTGAATAAACAAGCCATGGGTAACGATCTACCCAGTGAGGTTGGAACTTCAGATTCCTTTTCCCTGTGGCTGGATAATCATAGTTAGCCGGAGGGGTCCACGGATTGAGCAGAAGCTTCTCCATCGTCTCTGGATCATTTACATAATTGCTTTTCGAGACAAACAGTCCCAAGTCGAAAATATTCGCACTCGTCGCACAGAGGGGAGGCGAACCACAATGTGTAGGTGCCATGCCACTCACCTTCCTTGGGCATTGCCCAGTGGTAAAGGCGTCACTTTGCCCAGCATTGACTGTAGAACAAAGATCACTTGGAGTTGCACTGCGGCCACCATCATTTCCCGGCGGCACATGGGTGTCCTGCTTGTGTTCGTTCTCAGGTGATTCATATAAACCGGTGCATTCTCCTGAGTCGCTACAGAAGTTCAGACGCGCTTGGCTTTCCACCAGTGCTGAGGAGGGTGAAGTTTTATCCTTCGAAGGAGGCGGTTCTTCTCCGTCCGCTTCATCGGTTCGAACTTTCTTGAAGTAAGACGCAAGACTCCTTTGCTTCGTTGTTGCAGAGTATCTTTTCATTTTGCTGCCGCAATCCTGTGCACGCACACAGAAGTGGCTAGTGGCTCCAAAAAGACGTTTGCGACTGCTTCCACTGCCTGGCGTGAACGGCGAGAGATGGTTTCTTCCTCTCTTATCCACTTTATAGTGGCTAGAATGTAGAAGTGTGATGAACGCGCTGGCTCCCGCGTGGCGCATGTGTTTTCTGAACGCCGCTACAGCTGGTGTGCATGCAGGCCCATTATTGTACTCCAGCTGCAGCAAACTGGATTAACGCTACTTAAAGACCTTTTCACAGAAGACTCCATGGGCACTGCATACTCCCCTAAATATACGTGAACCCCCAAGAATGCACTGCCGAGACATTTGCACTCCCGTGGTACAGTCCAGAAAGGAGGTGTTGCTCCGTTCCTGTGAAAAAGTCACCTTTTCACAGACGGCTCCCTGGGCGCCTGCATAATTCTCTCTGGGCTGCGCTAATTAAATAGCCGTGACCCCCCAAAAATTCACTTTGTAGGCTGTGACGTCAGCCTCTGTACTCCCGCGTGCAGCCCAGCTTGGCGGCGTTTTTTTTCTCCTGTGAAAATTGACCGCTGGTGCCGGATTGTGTGCCGGCTGTATCCTCGCTTTGTGCGCTTTGTAGGGAGGTGCATATACCTTCTGTGTACAGAAGAGGTAGATTTCCTTGCGTGTGGTTAAGGTTGTTCGAAGTTGCTCGGATATGCCAGTCTTTTAGTAGATGTCATCTTCGATAATTCGTTTCAGTGGCGAGAACTACAGTTTGAGAAAAGTTTGCCCTGCAGCCTGCGTCCTCGGAATGCGCCGCTGAGTTTTTCTGCGTAGGGGTTTCGTTACCTGGCAAATTTGCGCACGTCGTATTGGTGTTGCCGTTGCTGTCGAACTGTTTACCTTCACAGAAGTAGACGCGCTTTTTGTAGGAACCCAAAGCCGACACGTGCGGTCCGCACAGACGGATAACTTCTCCAGCGGCAAAGCACAAGGAAAGCATCTGGAATCAATAAAGGAGCTGCTACGGTGTGAAAGACGAAAAAAAAAAAAAAGACTCGAAGGAACGCGAGGGCGAAGTGCAAAGCTGTACAAATAAAGCAGGTGCGCGTGCGGGGAAGGGAGCGCTGAGGTGTTCTGGTAAAAGGGTAGGTTTGAAGAAAGGAAGAAGAGGGAAGAATGCCAGGAAAGTTGCAGTGTAACTTTGGCAGCTGGTGGTCGCTGTGAAGGCGTGTAAATATTTTAGCATCACCCGAAAAGTTAAAGCATCAAAAAAATTTTGGGGGGGGGGGGTCAGAACCCCCTCAACCCCCCCCTAGTTACGCGCCTGCTTCCATTCATCTTTTGGGCACCAGACGGTTTTTAGGCCGCTTTCAAGATCTTGTCTTTGTTCCTCAGGAAATCGGGAACTGTATGCTTAAAAATGTTGAACTCCTTGCTCACGTCAACCTGCGATCGACCACTCTTCACTAACTTAATAATGGCGGCTTTCTTCTCGATGGTTAACCGATGGTACTGTTTTCTGCACTTCAATGCCATCGGCGAGGATGACAAAGGCGGAGTGGGGGCCATCGCAGGCAAGCGAAATTCTCACGATGTGAACAAAGGAGTTTGCTGACGAGCGTCGAAGCACCTAGGCTTAGCGTTGCAGAGCACACTTCACACAATCGCACAACCACGCACTAGGCTAGCCGAACACCATGTAGGCTGCGTAAACAAAACGGCGCGACGGCAGACGACGGTGCCTCGGGTACTCCGGAGGTAGCGCTGGTAAACATTCAAGATAGCCAGCGTGCCCAGACCAAATCGGTGTGTGACGGTTAGTTCTAGTTTGAAGTGGTGAAACGCTTCCCGAAAGCGCTGCGCGGGAAGCCAGAGTGGCTGTGATTTCCACGTCAGTACCTTTCGCTTCCGTGACTGTGACCAGGTCTGGCAGAGTGGTTAAGGGACCGGTTTGCTATGGTATTGATAAATAAGCTTTTGTTCGTGGTTTCTTACCACAAAGAGTTCTGGGTTTTGTTCATGTATGAATGTTCTAAGTTCCATGCGCAAAACCACTGTTATTTTGCAAAAGGGGGGATGTGCCGGAATGACTTTCCTATGTGCAGAAAGCGCGCTCCTAAATGATGCACCGATTCACCGTGCCTGGCCCATGTATGGAAACACGTGGTACTGAGGTTACAGTTGCTACTTAAACCGCTGCGAAATAGACGGCGGGGCTTTTCTCGCTTGCCTATCACCTGGACTGCCATTGCCTCCTTTCTTTCACCGATCATCGACTGATAGCGGCGGGCGCCTCTATGACATAGATTGTGTCTGCTCTCGCCATCTTGGTTGTTTTTACCTGCACTACTGTGGACTGCAAACATTGTAAATACGCCGGTTTTATGTCATCCCCCCATAACAATATCATTTATATGAACACTCTCAGCTGATTTTTGCCATTGTTGCCGCATCTTGGATATGTATATACAGTTATATATGTTAAAAACACATAAAAAATATAAATAAGAAGAAAATTCAAAACGACATATTGGGGGCCCAGCGACCCTTTGCTCAGCAGCCCGCTGTGCTAGCCAACACAGCCACGAGCTATGCGAGCAGCTTGCTGTTGGCACTGCCATTGAGCTGCTGCTTTCTGAGCTTTTAACTCCCAAGCCCGCTTGGCATTTTCACCGTTGAGCCGGTGCTTCTCGCGCCCTTAACTCCAGGGTAGCAGCTTGCTGTCGGCATTGCCGCTTTGCAGCTGTTTCCCGAGCTCACGTCTCTAGGGCAGCTTTCTCTCTGCATGAGCTGCCACATGCCCCGCTTTCGCCTCAGGAGTAGCAGCTTGTTGTCGGCATGCCGTTTTGTTCCTGTGTGTCGGCGTTGCCTATCACGGGCGAGAGTGCGTATATGTTTGTTTTCATCCACGGCAGAAAGAGGATGTGTGGTCTAGAACGTGCTTATGCTTCGTCATCAGCCACAGCACAAACAAAGTGTGCATAATGCCTCACAGATCTGTAGCGGGTACCTCACTTTTGAACAGAAGGATGAATTACATAGTGGCATAGTGGGTGCTTCCCTGCTTCGTGAAAGTTACGGAGAGCATATACTAGTGGGTACCTTGCATGCGCTGTGCTGTGATGGACAGACAATCAACGAGCCTAGACCTTAAGATGCTTCACTAAAAAATATTTTCTTGCATATTTCGCACCCCCAAACTGCTCGAGCCAGCTCACTGGCGCATGCACAAAGGAAGTTTGGACCTTTAAATGCATTGAACGGGTGCGCCCTTCGCCGAGCAGGCAGGCACAATAGTGCAGACACACATAAAACGACGAGCGTAAAATCTGTTCTTTTGAGGTCTTCTCCCCAAACTACGGTCCCTAGAATACCATATCTGAACACCCAAACCTGTTGACAGGTCGGAACTGCTTGAAGGTTTGCCCCCTTCCCCCCCCCCCTTTATCTCCCAGTCTCTTTCGTGAGAATGCATGCCTGCAACACGGCAAGAACTATTTCCTGAATCGGATATGGGCAAGAGGCTGTTGCGCAAGCTTTTCCCCGCGTTTTATGTGACCACGCTGCGACACATGCTTGCTTGATTTCCCAAGTTTAGGTTTCACCATCCATCTGTCATGTTTTTACCCTTCCCTTGCGATGGGCTTCAATAACTATACACACGGTGAAATTCAAGCTCGATGTTATAAAGTTTGCCAAAGAAAATGGGAACGGTGCCGCCACCAAGCACTTCAGTATAAGGTTTTTCTATGTGCAACATTCAGTACAGGAGAAAAAAAGAGTGCATGCTTGCTAATGAAAGCTTCCTGCTATTAAAGAAGGCCTTTTCAATAATGTGGGAAAGCTTCGGTCCTCTAGTATCTTTGTGTCATGGGTCCTGGTTTCTCCCAGAATTGTCGAGAAGAGTTTCGGCACACTTCGGGTGAGGGTGACAGTGGGCGCAACGATGATTCCCAAATGGATCTCTCTGCCAGTGATTCCTACAGACTGGGCATGACCGGATCTGGCTCGTTAAAGTACATGCTAATTCTGTTAAACGAAGAAGTACACTTTGTGCTCCAACTTATTTTTTTAATGTATATATTGTGCACACTAGGACTATATACTATTGCGCATTATTTAAGATGTGTTCATGAAATCTTTGCGTAATTGACGTACCCCCTTTTCGAAGCACCAAAATCGTGAAATAAAGTGCACAAATGATGTGAGTGAATTCGGTATGTCCAACGACTGCTGCGGAATGTAGGTTCACTAACCAAAGCAGCCTAGTTAACTATCCTTAGGTACACGCACAAACACTTAGAAGAGTTCATGTGTAAGAACATCTAACTGTGTACGTGTGATGCATTGGCCATTCCGTTTTCTCTGGATGAGGCATGGCCGCTCAGAAATTCTACCAGTGCATGCAACATGCAAACCTCATAATGCCCCCACCTGGACCTCAGTGCGCCCGGCGCGCAGCCCTCGGACAGTCGTGCCTTTGAGCGAGGCAAGGTGCGCGTCCGCCACACGGAGGAAGGGTGTCACGAGCCTAGTGACGGCCACCTGGGTGCGTCGCCCCAGGAGGTATGCCTCCCTGCCAGAGTTGTGGTCCACACTCTGAAAGCGTGTCAGCACCTCTACTCGTGCCTGCTGAAAGCGCAGTCGACAGGATCCTGGCGAACCACCTGGCGACGATCCATCACCCTGCGTAGATTAACAGAGGTCAAGATTAAGGATTGCCAGACTTGTTTTTGAAATCCAGTTAAAGTGAATTGTAACAAACGAAAATGTGTTCGCTTGGTCTAATTGAGCCACACTAAGACGACCTAATAATAGACCTTTAATCAAACGCTACTACAGACATTGTTTGCAGTATGCAGAAAGTCCACGGAACATGAGTGAAGCTTGTACTGATCATTCAAAGGTGTATTGGCAAAAAAGTTTTTAGTTCTTTTCTTTTTCTGCGTGAAATGAAAGACCAAGCCCTCAAGTACCTAGAAAACATACTCGTAAGCTTCACTGAACCTTGGAAAGGTAATGACAGTATGTTTTTAAAAGCAAGTTTTAGTTCCTGCAGTTTTCTGACATCACAACATGGTATGATCTTGTCACGTGCTTGCACAAGATATTGTGACACTTCCATGTCCGTTCCCCTGTTTGGCTCCATTGGTGACACGCAGTAGCCGTTCTGAATGTTATGGCCACGGGTAAGTGGCCATACTAAGTATTTTGGACCTGAATTAAATATAACTGGTCATACTGGAGCGTGAAGACACAATTGACATTGTAGCCAAACGTCACGAAAGCGTTGACGTGAGTATGTGCACGATGCAAAAATTGAAAATAATGGCAAAATAAAACATCTTGTCAGCAAACTTGCTCAGAGCCTTTTCTGTATAAAGGAGAAATGTATGGCAGAGTAGACTTATCTTTGAAAGTTGGTGCCAGTACCAGTTAGATAGCATGTTGCCAACTAATAACATTTGCAATTGATGTCAATGCTTATCGGCAGGCTGCTATGATACCAAAAAGTTACAAATCGTGCATTTAATTTACAGGGATGCGATAAAACAGCATCAGTAGAAAAAAAATCACCAAAGCAAGACTATAGCTTTAAACTGTTCACAGCTTGCAGTCGGCAATATTTGGTACCGTCACAGCATCCATGAAATTGTGACCGCAATGAATGATGATCAGTGCAAACAAACATTAACTGCTCTCCAGTTGCTATGAATAAAGCATCATAACCGACTGAAGTGCCTGAAGCTTGCTGTGAAAAAAGGTCACAAATGACTAGAGAGTTGGAGCTGCGCCTGCATGCCAATTCATTGACATTGGCTGCTCTTTGGATTTCGACTTCGCTGGTGATTAACAGAGTACTGTGGTGCTTCCCAAGAAAAAATAATTGGTTTGAAAACACTCTTCCTAAACTGGTGTCCAACACTTTCGTGTGCATTCTGCTACTAGCGAGTCTAACACAACAGCACCAAAACGGCGAGTGTTTATAAACATAGCTGACAGGAGGCACCATAGCGGCAACTCGGAATCTGAGAAAGAGAATATAGCTGCACAAATTGCTTCCACTATTTAATTTTATGTTTAAAATTTACTGGAAAGTTAACCTTTATTAAACGTCTCAACATTGTTTACACGTTTTGAGATGTCGATTTTTTAATCTGTTGTCGAGCACCTGTTGACGAGATTACATATGCAGCGCATCCATGAGCTCGGCGAACACATTCAACAGGTGAATGTCACTAGATGCAAATATCATTCACTGAGACCGTGTAACAACAACAAAGATGACATTAACACCTAACGTCATTCGCAGCAAATGACATTACCAGTGCTGTGTGACAAGCGTATAAGCAAACTGCACAACCAATTTCTTTTTAAGTTGCAAAAGCTTCTAAGCCACACCTACGTGGGATCTTCAAGAGAGAAGAGCCTTTGAACATACTCCCCAAGGGCTGGCACAGCAGCAGACTCGACAAATGAAGAGTGAAAGCTGTTGAACAATACTTCATGCTTATATCTTGTACTACTGGCATACCCAGAAGGGTTGAATTTTTCAATTTTGCGTGCACATATAGACAAGTACGAATACAAAAGCACAAACATACATATTAAAGTATGATCAAATCACACACCTCTAGCAAAGTGGTAGAGCTAGAAAAAAATTTCTGGCTCTGCCACTGTGCTGTACAATAACATAACATATTTTTTGTTAGTCTTCATTGCTTATGGCATAAAGCGTGCCAAGCACGAAAATTCGGGCTTGTGAGCCATCATTAAAGAAAAAGAAAGGAAAGAAACTTATAAAGAAATGGCAGCTTACGTACATCGTCCCACTTGTCAAGGATGCGTCGCTTGTTGCGCAGCCAATCATTGCGACAATCTGTGGTCCCTTGCAGGAGAGGGTTTCGACACCTGCAAGGTAAAAGAATTTTTGAGACGTTCAAATCTGCTACGTCATGGCAGCCACTGTAGCACATAGACATTATAAAAAAAAAGTGCTTGAAACCGTAGGTAAAGCATGTCCATTTATACAATAACTTCACCTGAAAAGATGTAATGTCTGCTAACTTGAAAACACTTCTTTAGTGTTGTTTGCAAGACAATTACCATATTTACTTGAAAATAGGTCAACTCCTACATGCAGGGCCTTCTAAAATATAAGAAAAAAGTTATGTGAACATAGGCTGCCCTAGATTTTACGAGAGGAAAAAATGAAACATGATACACCTTTATTTATATTAAGCACGGAGGCCTGTTGACAATAAGCCCGCCTAAAATCCATTACATTCCCATCTCAGTCCATTACATGTCAGGCCATTAAAGCATGGCCTGAGATCTGTATTCTCTACTCAGATATGGTAAGTACAACTAAACTTCGATATACAGAATTAGAATATAACGAAGTATTGGTTATAACAAAGTGAATAATAGCTGTGTCATAAATACAGTGTAACAAGTTATTTATAACAAATTTTCAGATATAATGAAGTATTTTTGGAGCAGATGCAAATTTTCTATAATAAGGTTTGGGTGTACGATGTATTTCATGTACCCAATGCAGTCCTGCAATGCTTCCATTGGGATAGCAATTATATGGACACTCTCGGCTGGATTTCGCCGTCGGCGTAAGCGTTGACGTCGGCGTCAATGTCATGCACCGTATATGTATACGTATCTATATATATGAAAACACAAAAAATAAAAAAATCCAGAGAAAAGACTCCAGGGCGCGAAACCGAACATGGGACCTCCACGTCTTGAATGCGAGGCGTTAACCACTGAGCCACCGTGGGGCACCTCCTTGGACGTTTAAACAGCAAGCTATCTATATCTACCACTTACCGCTGTTGGAAGGCATCTCTGGGGGGGAACTATTGTGTTTTCAGCATTGTCAGCAAGATGGCCCAGTGAGCGCACGGCGGCTCTCATCTCTCACGTGTACTTTGGCTCATGTAGAGAATAAGTGGGTGTACGCTCGATCGCGTGCCCTTATCTTGCAGTGGGGAGAATCGTACCTCTTGGCTAGACTTGGGGCTTCACTGGAACGATTCTGTTGTAGTTATCGGGCACACAAAGGTCACTGCAATTGATGCACAGCCTCCGCTTATGAAAAGGGCACACTTTTCAGACACAGAGAAGTAACAACTGAGACGCTTATTCGCATACATCTGTACCTGTGAGTACGTTTCGTGCGCCATTTGTGCATGAGGAACGCGGGGCACATTTCGATGCGCTTGCCATTCTGCATGTGACCTTCTAATTTGTTGCTATCGCGTTCATTGCTTCTCCGCCTTTACGGCAAAGCTGTGACTTCTTTTGAAATCTAAGTAATATTTGAACACCTTCATTAAAGGAATTTATTGCTTCACGAATCAACAATAGCAAAATTTTTTAAATCCATCAAGTTCGAGCGGAGTTGCAAAGGCTTGCAGAACGCTGTAGGTGCTTTCTCTCGTCTCGTCTCAACGAGCGCCCCGGAAGCTAAGCAAGGAAGGAAGGCATGGGAGAAAGAAGTTACCGTATTTACTCACATAATCCTCGCACTCGCATAATTCTCGCACTCCCCACATCGCCCAACAAAAATACGATTTCTTTTTTTCCTCTAGTAATTATCGCACCCCCAAAAACTGCCGCAATATTGTATTCTGCTCGTTCGAGCCACTGATGATGATAGCGCAAGCCATCTCTTAAGCATCAAGCGTATTATCATTGCACGGAGATTCGATCCAATCCAAGCCAAGCCAAAGTGGCAAGTGCACATTGCGGCGTGTTTTGTATGTTGTGTAGGTAATCTAGTCACGTTATGGGGTGATACTGAAGCTACACGGCTGCATTCAAGTTGAAAGTGATAGATCATGCACTAAACAACAGCAACAGGGCCGCCGATAGTCCCTTCGAAGTCTACGAGTTCTGTATTCGCTACTGGTGACGGCTGCTGAAAGCCACCAAGATGCGTTGGGGCTGCCATGTGCCTAAAACTGGGATTGATGGTAAACTTTATTTCTTCAGAAGGAAACTGCGGACGATTTTGTTGAATAGCCATCAGCCCAACACTGAAGTCCTACACTTATCTTTTGAGGGCTCCTGTTAAGCGACGAACGCTACCGCTACACCCGCAACGGCCGCAAGCTTTGCGTATGGCATTCTAATTCTCGACTATTTGCTTCCACTTTTTGTGTCTCAAATAAGCCTTGCTTTTCAAAGCTTGCTGTTAGTTGCTGGTATGAGAATTTCGATTTGCAGCCACTTCGTTTTCTTTTCACTCTGTACGTTTTCGTGGAAAGATTTCCCCGCGTAATTCTCGCACCCCCCAACTTTGCATCGGTTTTCCGCCAAACAAAGTGCGAGGATTATGCGAGTAAATACGGTACGTCCCTTGCACATCGTGACCTTGAGCCCTTTATTTTTTTCCTGAGTCCCACGGACCACAAGCAAGCGCGCAGGCCCGTTGCGACGTACCACGGTGGCTGCGGTAGCTGTGCAGCACACGATGCTAAATTCAGCCAATGGTTACATGGCGCAGTCATTCAGGTTTATGCCATCATTTGTTGAGAGAGCCGATCGTAGTTTCTAGGCCACGCACTGCAGTTATAATATTTGACTCACATGCTCTCAGGAGTCACGACTACCGATGAGCAGCGTTCTCTGACCAAGCTTCATGAAGAGGTCTTGCTGGGCCCTTTTAATAATAAAGGGCAGAGCAGCTAACTCTCAGGAACCCTTTTGTAGCCTAGGAATTGAGTTGTACTCAATGCATCCACTATGTTGAAGAACTTAAATTTTCGTATTAATGGGATAAATAAATTCTTTTTACCAGTACCAGTGTGACTACATACTTTATATGCACAGACCCTGTATACAACAGCAGCACCTTTTATGACTGCTACGGCGAGGGTTTCGATGCGCTGCTGAAACCACGCAGCCCTTACCGCTTGTGCCTGTGTGGTGTGCGCCAGGCACGAATCTGGCTCAGTTTGGTGTCCGAGAGCCGCAGGTCCAGGGGAAGCTCGGGCATCCACACCAGGAAAGCAGCCTGGCCTGTGTATGTTCCATACTTGACCAGCACAGTTGCGTTCTGCGAACCCCGCACTTCAGAGCCGTCCAGGTACACCGAAGTGCACGATGGTGAGACCTGCGTGAATAAGGCCACGCCATGCAATCAATAGAGTGGGCAAGGGTTTATCTTTTCACGAGAATATGTGCAACATGCTTAGCCAGCCAAGAACAACTGGGTAGATATGAGTGAAACCCCTGTGCTATGATCAAGGCACAGGCGTTTCACTTTTCTTTGTGTAATGCATTTTCGTGATGCCTGTACGTCATGTGCCTGTACTTTTAAGGCGTGTAAAACTTGTACAGCTCCTTATAAAAAAGTCTAGATGAATTTATTCATTCCAAACTATGTCCAAAAAAAATAATGAAATGTGCAAGGCTACATCGATCTTTCATTAAACCATGAAACAGTGTGCACAGTTTTCATGTCACTGCATATATAATTATTCAAGCAATATATCCCTCCCTGGCCATACTTTAGTAAAATATTGCTGGGTGATTCCACGAGAGATCGACACGTGTTCAAAAGTTGATATTTTAGATTTCATTGAGTATTTTATATTTCGTGCACCTCTCACCAGGTAGCCCAAAAGTCAACTTCGTTTTATGATTAACGGCATAACTTACGAGAAAAAAAATATCAAACTTCACCAACACGGAGGCACCAATTTCGTCACCTGTCATTTTCGAAAATTGCAGATGCTATAAAAAGACAAATATTTTTGTTTCAAGGAAGATATTTTTTACCTGAAATGTATGTCTAATGAAGAAAGAATTCATACGATTTCAAGTTTGCAGACCTTAATTAAGAAAATAGCTTTTAAAAATGTCTAATTTTGCAACAGTTTAAAATAAGTTACGTACTCCCCATTTTTTTGCTCCGAAAACAATGCAAGCAGTGTTTTCAAACTTAACACGTTTTAAGGATATAGTGTGTTCATTAGGTACATAAATTATTGCTGCCGTAGGACAAATGTAAATTTTTATATATTGCCTCAAAGTTCTCATAATGGCAAAAGTGTACTCCACTGAAATTTCAATAATAAAAAATCTCATCTTCGATTTTTCTTAAAATCTCGTAAATAGACAACCGAAGGCCATCATACAGTAGTATAGAAAAACATGTTGCATTACTTTGTTTTTAGCGACAATATTCGTGGTACAAATCAGAGCTTTTCGAGAATGCGCAGATAAGTTGAGAAATCTAGAAATCGGAACGGAAAAGTGGCAATGAGCTTCAAACGCGAGTAAACGTGACCGAATTTGGTGAAGAAAGGCTGTTTTAGCACTGTGACAAATACGTACCCATGAAGGCGCGTTTATGCTCCTGATAACACAGCTCTAATGGAGGAAACCTTCGACGCTGTAACTCAGTTGCAAAACATCTGTCTATATTTGCAGATAAACTCAAACATGAAAATGTTCCAATGCAAGTGTTGGGTCTCGCTAGAAAAAGCATATGCGCTTGAAGTACCCTCACTGGTATTTTGGTGGTGACTGCGTGAAACAAGAGATGCGCTCAAAATGGCTGCATCTTTTGCAGATCACATTTAGCAGTGCGTGATGCTAACAAAACTCGACCACGATCAGTGCCCTCAGATGTGCTTAGCCAAACATGCCAAGAACGTATGCCTGGAACATGTGGCAACGATTTCCACTGGCTCTTCTTAAACTGACGGAATGTTTCTAGCTCGTCTGCATTTGCACACAGCAGCTTGACATTCTTGAGCTTCGCGCTCATTTGCGACACCATTTGGGATGCTGACATAATCACAGCTGAGCTTGCCGCTCTGAGGTTGCAGAGTGTAGCCTGATGCTTTAGTAGGCCACCAACGCCTTCACAAGAGTTCTTGCCATGTCCTGTGGCCGAAAAAATCCACTTTGTTGATATATGATCTTTCTGACATAACTCGAACAACTGGTACTTGTTTTTGAAGTGACTGCATGCACCATCAGAAACATAAGTAACATGCGTGTCAGGCTTAAGTTGTTCCTTCATATAGTTGTGGATTATTTGTAGAGCAAAACAGGCATGTGCAGCATCATAGCATGTGTCATCACTGATTTGATTGAATCCTTGTGAAACTTTGAATTGATTGCTTCCTTGTGATGACACACGTGAATATAGACACCTTTCGTTTGTGCCAGTGATAACGACTGTACCTCATTCGGTAAAATGGCTGTTCAATTTTCGGCGAAATCAAAGTGAAAAATGCAAGATTCTTTTTCTTGATTCTCTTTCGCCTGGCGTATTGCTGATTCTTGAATGTATCTTATGTAATCATGGGTAATCCACTTCACAAACCATAGACTTAGCTCTCACAGAAAAGCACTTGCCCGGGCTGTTTTTTTTACTAGATCGCCATTTTCCCATACTGCATAGGCTACCTCAATATCTTCAGGGATTCCTAAACATGTGGCTGTCAGAGTGTCCTCCTTAGCACAATAGTCACAATGGCCTAAAAAACAATCACTTGTAAGGGAGCAGCAAAGACATAGTTCTTTCAAGAAATCCGCCGTGTAGGCACCATCGGTGACGTCTTGTAGGGCAGAAACACACTCCGTAGCATTAGCACAGTATATACGAAGGCACACTTCTTGGTGTGGTGCAAAAAGAACCCACTTCGGCCTCAGTGAATAAAACTTTGAGAGCCCAATAGACGTGTTCGGATTAGCTTCTCTAAAGAGACGGTAAGCCTCTTGCACCAAACGGGTCATAAACCTTTTCGAAACAAGCTCCTTTTTTCCGTCAATGATAACAGATACATCTTTTTTGTTTTAAACGTAAACATTTTGACAGCAATCTGTCTGGCTGGGTAGAAAAGTTTAGAAAATTAAAATTGCTCCAGCCACAGTTCAAAAAGAGCCCGACGTTTCGAGACCGACTCGGTCCCTTCCTCAGGGGGTGACTGTCTTGGTCATGGAAGTGTCGTCGCGTCGTGTTCTCTCACCACGGCTCCGGCTTTCCCTTTCCACCACGTTTCGGAGACCGTGAACGTACACCGAAGGCATTGTTCCCAGCGAGCGGTTCACGTTGGCAGGCGTATGCTGAATGTGCCAAGACTCGAGCAAGAGCCTCTTTCCCAGATTCCGTTCTGTTTCAATAACAGAAGCGCCGTCTAAGTCAATTTTATGGTCGTGCTTCTCGCAGTGCTCCGCCAGAGCGCTACGTTGCACTTCCATCTTCCTGACGTCGTTCTTGTGTTGGCGAATTCTTTCCGGGAAACACTTGCTCTCGCCTATGTAGCTGGCTGGACAGTCAGAACACGACGCTTTGTAGACAACGCCCAGGTGTAGCTCCCTCGGAGGCCGGTCTTTCGGCCGCGGTAGTAAGCGAGCGAGCGTCGAAACAGGTTTATGGATTACCGTGACCCCGGCTTTTCCTAGGATTCTCGAGAGCTGTTCACTTATGCCCGGCACATATGGAATGGCGACGCGGTTGTTCGGCGTCTTCGTTTCTCTCGTGTGCGGTGGTGTGGCCAGGGCGGAAAGGGGGTCGGGCGGTGTGTCGCTTGCAGGTCTCTTTCCGCGGTGCGGTGGTTGTCGTCTCGACAAACGGCGTGACGCCCGGCGGATGAACGCTTCTGTGTAGCCATTCCTTCGTAGCTCGGCGACAATCCTCTTTTCTTCTTTCTTCCTCTCACCTTCCGACGTGCAGATTACTCGTGCACGTGAGAGGAGTGCCGAAACCACTGAAGCTTTGTGGGCAGTTGGATGACAGGACGAAAAATGCAAATACCTGCCGGTGTGAGTTGGCTTTCTATACACCGAAAAGGTCATGCGCTCGCCCTGTCGTCTGACTAAAACATCGAGAAACGGAAGCGCCCCGTCTCGCTCTCGTTCCACCGTGAACTGTATCGCTTGGTCGATGGAGTTTAGATGTTTAGTAGACAGCTTCCTCGAACATCTAAACTCCATCGACCAAGCGATACAGTTCACGGTGGAACGAGAGCGAGACGGGGCGCTTCCGTTTCTCGATGTTTTAGTCAGACGACAGGGCGAGCGCATGACCTTTTCGGTGTATAGAAAGCCAACTCACACCGGCAGGTATTTGCATTTTTCGTCCTGTCATCCAACTGCCCACAAAGCTTCAGTGGTTTCGGCACTCCTCTCACGTGCACGAGTAATCTGCACGTCGGAAGGTGAGAGGAAGAAAGAAGAAAAGAGGATTGTCGCCGAGCTACGAAGGAATGGCTACACAGAAGCGTTCATCCGCCGGGCGTCACGCCGTTTGTTGAGACGACAACCACCGCACCGCGGAAAGAGACCTGCAAGCGACACACCGCCCGACCCCCTTTCCGCCCTGGCCACACCACCGCACACGAGAGAAACGAAGACGCCGAACAACCGCGTCGCCATTCCATATGTGCCGGGCATAAGTGAACAGCTCTCGAGAATCCTAGGAAAAGCCGGGGTCACGGTAATCCATAAACCTGTTTCGACGCTCGCTCGCTTACTACCGCGGCCGAAAGACCGGCCTCCGAGGGAGCTACAGACGACAGACGACAGGGCGAGCGCATGACCTTTTCGGTGTATAGAAAGCCAACTCACACCGGCAGGTATTTGCATTTTTCGTCCTGTCATCCAACTGCCCACAAAGCTTCAGTGGTTTCGGCACTCCTCTCACGTGCACGAGTAATCTGCACGTCGGAAGGTGAGAGGAAGAAAGAAGAAAAGAGGATTGTCGCCGAGCTACGAAGGAATGGCTACACAGAAGCGTTCATCCGCCGGGCGTCACGCCGTTTGTCGAGACGACAACCACCGCACCGCGGAAAGAGACCTGCAAGCGACACACCGCCCGACCCCCTTTCCGCCCTGGCCACACCACCGCACACGAGAGAAACGAAGACGCCGAACAACCGCGTCGCCATTCCATATGTGCCGGGCATAAGTGAACAGCTCTCGAGAATCCTAGGAAAAGCCGGGGTCACGGTAATCCATAAACCTGTTTCGACGCTCGCTCGCTTACTACCGCGGCCGAAAGACCGGCCTCCGAGGGAGCTACACCCGGGCGTTGTCTACAAAGCGTCGTGTTCTGACTGTCCAGCCAGCTACATAGGCGAGAGCAAGTGTTTCCCG